GCCGCCATTTTGTGGTGGGCTCCGCCTCCACCCGCCGCCATTTTGTGGCTGCATCCACCGTTGTGTTTCAGAATTCCCAAAAAGCTTGGGGACCTCTGGCATAAAGCATGCTACAGTGCCACGTTAGAGTCCGTGTGTGTGTATGTGTGCGTGTGTGGGAGGAGGCATCTCCAGGGCAGTCCTTTTAAGAGTGGCTGCCTGCAGTGGAGAAGGCTATCCTGTGCCCCTTTGGCCTCCGAATGCAGCCTAGCCTGGGCTTTTAAGTCAGGCTTCCTCTGGCTGCCCCACTCACCCACGCAGCGTTTTTGGCAAGATCCTGCTCAAGATAGGCTTCAAGGGTCTTCTGGCCCCCGAGGGGCTGCAACTCACAGAACACCCCGGCCCGGGCTGTGAGCTTAACCACCACACCAGTTTGGTGTAGCGGAAGAGGAGGAGGGGAAGAGGAGATTGGATTTATACCCCTCCCTTCACTACCCAAAGGTGTCTCAGAGCGGCTTACAAACTCCTTTCCCCTTTCCCTTCCCCACAACAGACACCCTGTGAGGCAGAGGTGGAGCTGGGAGAACTCTGACAGAAACTGCTCTTTTTTTCAAGGACAGCTCTTGTCAGAACTGTGGCTTGCCCAAGGTCATCCGGCCAGGTGCAAGTGGAGGAGGAGTGGGGAATCAAACCCGGTTCTCCCTGATTAGAGTCCGCGCACTTAACCAGTGGGAGAACCAGGTTTGATTCTCCATCTCCTCCACTTGCAGCTGACCTTGGGTCAGTCACAAGTTTTCTCGGGGCTGTTATCTCACGGACAGTTCTCGAGAGAGAGCTCTCTCAGCCCCACCTACCTCACTGGGTGTCTGTTGTGGGGAGGGGAAGGGAAAGGAGTTTGTAAGCCGCCCTGAGACTCTTGAGTGAAGGGCGGGGTATAAACCCAATCTCTGCTCCTCTTCTTTTCCAGATCCCTTTTTAAAATCAGGCCTCAGTTCACGGCAAGGGCCATCCCCCTATCTCCACGGGATGTGTCAGTCCTGACCGCCCCCTACCCGCCTGAGCGCCACCTGATAGATGCCCACCGTGAAGATCTCCACGATGAGTTCAGGAAATCTTGGGTGGGCAGCACAGAGGGAGCGGGGTGCCAAGCAAATCAGTCTAGTCTGTAGTCACAGGAAATAAAGCCAAGTAGAAATGTCCTTGTGTTAACACCCCCCTTCCCGCCCCTTGATACATACCGACACTAGGGGACCAAGCTCCATACGCCGGCGTGGCACCTTGGTTCCACGGAGTCATGGCAGGTGACATTCCACCCATGGGGCTGGGAGCAGACCCGAAGAACATGCCGGTGGCTGTGAGGGACGGAAAAGTGTTAAGAGGTCAACGTGACTGGCCACAGCGTGGACACGACCCCCTCCTCCCGCAAGCCCTCTACACCCTCCCTCCACTGATGGGAACACACCTCCCCCCCCCCCCCAAATTTATCCATCCCACTTCACAGACCCCTTCCTGAAACCCCCCTCCCACGAAACCTGCCTCTGTAGCTGCCCAGAGGCTGAAGCAGCCCCTTGGCTTTTCCCAGCTGTGACCAGTGCTCCCTCTGAGCTGTGGAGTCTTGTGAGCAAAAATGCTACTTTGTGAGCTCCTGGCATCCAAGTGGTGAGCGAGCAATTGAGCTCCTGCAGAAATCAGTTTGCTCTGGAGCCCCATCCTCCCTGAGCTAAGGCAAAAACGTGTGAGCCGGAGGCTAAAAAACTGTGAGCTGGCTCACACTAACTCAGCTTAGAGGGGACACTGGCTGTGACCCCCCCCGACATTTCTAAAAGGGGACCATCCTTTTATTTATATCTTTCTCCACACTGGGGACCCCAAAGCGACTGACACCGTTCTCTCCTCCCTTATGACCCTCACAACAATCTTGTGAGGTAGGCTAAACTGAGAGAGGGTGTGACGGGCCCAAGGTCACCCAGCAGGCTTTATTTTATTCAATCTACACCCTGCCCCGCAAGTGGGATTTTTATAGACAAAAAAAGCAGCTTCCACGGCCACAGCGGGGATTTAAACCTGGAGTGTCCCAAATCCTAGTCTGGCTCTTTGCCTTCCCATCATTCTTACCCCTGAAGGATTTAATCCAGAGTCCCCCCGCACAGGCACATGTACCTGCACAGCTCTGTGTGTTGTCGACGCTCGTCCCCCCCCCCGCAAAGTCAGGAAACCCACCCCTCTCTGAAGCCAGGAATTGGATTTCCTCCGGTGGCCGTCGTGAGCCAAGACAGGGATTGCTGGGCATTCTCACTTTGCCCCTCTGAGCAAGGGATCCCCTCCCCCCCGAACATTCTGCAGCAGTCTCAAGCCCCCAGGCTCCCTCCGTGGCCAGGATCCTCAGCCCTGCCCCCCTTCCCCACCCACCCCCAGCCGGGTACTTACGCCCGCCCACTCCCAGGCCCGGGATGTTGGTGGGGATCTCCATGCCGTATTTGCACTTCTCGGCGTCCAAGAGAAGGTCGAAGCAGCCGGTGCCGGCCGGGGCAAGCTGGCCCAGCATGATGTTCTCCGACACCCCCTTCATGGGGTCGCTCTCGCCGTGCACGGCAGCTTCCATCAACACGTCCACCTGTGGCAGGCGCCCCCCAGCCAAGGCAAGGAAGGGACCCGCGGTTACTCACGGCTCTTCACCTCTCCCCTCCACCCTGCCCGGTGGACCCAAAGACTTTCTCCCCCCCCCCGCCACTCACCGTCTCCTCAAAGGAACACTTCATGAGCGGACCTGTGTCCTGGCGGTTGACGCCGTGGCGAGTGATGGCCATTAGATGCCCGCGGCACGTCATGGTGTCGCAGAGCAGGGCCAAGTGGCGGTAGTTGACGTAGGAGCCGTCAAAGGAGATGACGTGGTACAGCTCCCTCTCCAGGGCCTTCCTCACGGCCTCGATGCCCAGGACCTGTGCAAGAGAAATTGGGCTCCGGGAGGTCAGAGAAGCACCACCCAAGGCACTGCACGCCAACCTCTTCGACTGGCCCCTGCAGATCTGATCGACGGCGCAGATGCAAATAACAGCTGTCGCCAGTGTTGGTTTTACCGCGGAGCTCCTTTACCCCCACACTGTGTCTTCTAAAGGACCCCTCTTCTCCCCTGCAATTGGGCTTCCTTTGTGCAGTTGACTCTGCCTCCACCCGCCGCCATTTTGTGGTGGGCTCCGCCTCCACCCGCCGCCATTTTGTGGCTGCATCCACCGTTGTGTTTCAGAATTCCCAAAAAGCTTGGGGACCTCTGGCATAAATCATGCTACAGTGCCACGTTAGAGTCCGTGTGTATGTATGCGTGCGTGTGTGGGAGGAGGCATCTCCAGGGCAGTCCTTTTAAGAGTGGCTGCCTGCAGTGGAGAAGGCTATCCTGTGCCCCTTTGGCCTCCGAATGCAGCCTAGCCTGGGCTTTTAAGTCAGGCTTCCTCTGGCTGCCCCACTCACCCACGCAGCGTTTTTGGCAAGATCCTGCTCAAGATAGGCTTCAAGGGTCTTCTGGCCCCCGAGGGGCTGCAACTCACAGAACACCCCGGCCCGGGCTGTGAGCTTAACCACCACACCAGTTTGGTGTAGCGGAAGAGGAGGAGGGGAAGAGGAGATTGGATTTATACCCCTCCCTTCACTACCCAAAGGTGTCTCAGAGCGGCTTACAAACTCCTTTCCCCTTTCCCTTCCCCACAACAGACACCCTGTGAGGCAGAGGTGGAGCTGGGAGAACTCTGACAGAAACTGCTCTTTTTTTCAAGGACAGCTCTTGTCAGAACTGTGGCTTGCCCAAGGTCATCCAGCCAGGTGCAAGTGGAGGAGGAGTGGGGAATCAAACCCGGTTCTCCCTGATTAGAGTCCGCGCACTTAACCAGTGGGAGAACCAGGTTTGATTCTCCATCTCCTCCACTTGCAGCTGACCTTGGGTCAGTCACAAGTTTTCTCGGGGCTGTTATCTCACGGACAGTTCTCGCGAGAGAGCTCTCTCAGCCCCACCTACCTCACAGGGTGTCTGTTGTGTGGGGAGGGGAAGGGAAAGGAGTTTGTAAACCGCCTGAGACTCTTGAGTGAAGGGCGGGGTATAAATCCAATCTTTGCTCCTCTTCTTTTCCAGATCCCTTTTTAAAAATTCAGGCCTCAGTTCACGGCAAGGGCCGTCCCCCTATCTCAGCAGTTTTCAGGGATGTGTCAGTCCTGACCGCCCCCCGCCCGCCCGAGCGCCGCCTGACAGATGCCCACCGTGAAGATCTCCACGATGTCGTTGGAAGTGGTGCGCACGGGGTCCACATCCTTCTCGCTCAGCACCCGCATGAGGCTCACGCCGTCCGTCTCTAGGATCCACTCCTGCAATGCCTTGAACTCCCCATCCTCGGTGATGATGATTTTCTTCTTGTTATCCGTCTGGGGCAGGTGCATGTACACCTAGAGAAGGCAGGCAGGCGGGGAGAGAACGTCAAGGATGCCCCTGCCAGCAGCAGCAGCATCAGGCGAGGGGGGGGGAGAGGCTCTGGGGCACGGCCGGGAGTTGCCAACCTTGCTGATCTGCTCAATGCCTTGAAGGGTCATGTCTGTCAGCATGTTGGACTCGATACAACGAAGGAAAACGTCGTCGTCCATCTTGTCCACCACCTCTTCCTCCTGGACAGAAAGGGGAAGGGAGAAAGGATTCAGGCCCACCCTCCAGAATCCGGCCCGGGCGCCACCGCGTCCCACTGGCTCCCGGGGGGCACAGCTGTACGCCCTCCCAAGCCCCCAACAAATCCACCAATACGATGACAGTGGGAGGGGGCCGGGCCAATTATCTCTGCTCTTTGTGGTCCACCTGTGGACAGCAACCTGGCCCATTCCGACCGTCCAACCTGCTGGGGTGGATCCCCCTGCAGTGACACGGCGAGCATGGATGGAAAATGACCCCCACACAAGGCAATTAGAGACTACTAGTCATGTGAACTAGCCCAGCGACTTTCCAGCCAGGGAGGAAAGGAAGTCTGGGAGACCTTCTGCACTCTAATCTCAGGCTCCAAACCTTCTGCTACCAGGAGGCAAAGAGCAACCCCACCCCACGGTTCATTCTAGCAGGGCTTACACCTCTCTCTACCAGAAAGAACTCTATAGAGATTTCTGACTGCTACCCACAACCCTGTCCCCTGACAGAGGCCATGTCTCCTCACGAGGGACTACATCAGGAAACTTGTGGCATCCAGCCTCAAGACCAGCTGAGCAGCCCACTTCCCGGGGGGTGGATGGGGTGGGGGGTGGCAGTGTTCCCTCTAAGCTGAGTCAATGTGAGCTAGCTCACAGTTTTTTACCCTCTGGCTCACAGATTTCTGCCTTGGATCAGGAAGGATGTAGCTCCAGAGCAAAACTGATTGATGCAGGAGCCAAATCGCCTGCTCACAAAGTAGGATTTTTGCTCATGGGACTCCACGGCTTAGAGGGAGCACTGGTGTGGGGTGGGTGCCCAAATGGCTCCTCCTCCCCCTCCCCCGTGCCCCACCTCTTGCATCTTGTTCTCGTCGCTGTTCATGATGCGAATCCGCAACACCAACTTCTCGGCGTTGTCGTCATTGAAGATGCAGTTGAGATCATCCCCGAAGCCTGCGGCAAAAGAGGACACTCAGTTTCCGTTCCCCTCCCTGCCCCGGGCCAAGCAAGAGGCGCCCTCCGGCCCCCGTGCCGCACCCGCCTCCCCCCCTCCCTCACCGGCATTGATCTTCTCCGCGATCTGCTCCATGGTGAGCTTGCGGTCCGTCATGTGCTTGCGGTCGAGCTCCACCCGCAGCAGCCAGGGAGAGATGCGGGTGACGTCGAAGTCGGGCATCTCGTAGTAAACGTTCACCCACTCCTGGTCCTCGGCCACCACTGTGTTCTGCGGGTTGGGGTCATAGTAGATGGCCGTGTTGGCCGTCACTTTGCGGAGGGTTGTGTGCTCGAGGCGGCAAAGGATATCCTGGAAGACAGAGAGGGGAACCAGGTTGCCAAAACTTATCAAAGCAATAGAGAGGAGAGAACCTGCAGCGCCAGGTACAGTTTTCCTTCCTGCCAATAGGTAAAGGTTTCTCTTGCTCAAAAGCTAGTCAAATCCAACTCTAGGGTTGCGGTGCTCATCTCCGTTTCCGAGCCGAAGAGACAGCGCTGTCCAAAGACATTTCCGTGGTCATGTGGCCAGCATGACTAAACGCCAAGGCACACGGAACGCTGTTCCCTTCCCACTGAAGTGGTACCTATTTATCTACTTGCAATTCCTTGCTTTCGAACTGATGCCGCGTTTCCCCGAAAGTAAGACATCCCCCGAAAATAAGACCTCCCCGATAATAAGGCCCCCCGGAGCAGACAGGAAGTGCGAGGTCTCTTTTAATCAGAGAGCCCGCGCCGCTGCCAGGACAAGCTGCCGCCTGCTGCTCGCTCTGCCCTGACGGAGTGTACCGTATTCTTCTTAATAAGACATCCCCTGAAAATAAGACCTAGTGCATCTTTGGGAGCAAAAATTAATATAAGACACTGTCTTATTTTCGGGGAAACACAGTAGGTTGGCAGGAGCTGGGACCAGAGACGGGAGCTCACTCTGTCATGCGCCACTCGGGTCTCGAACCGCCGAACTACAGACCTTCTGGTCTG